CCACTGCAAGCCCTCCATGGCGATGGCAATGTTCATCAGTGCCGCAAAGGTCTAATAGTTCGCAGTGTACAGCTTCTCCTGAAGGATATAAGAGAGGCCACGGAAGAAGCGGTCCTTCTTCTTCTTGTTAGTGTCCACATGAATGCCAACATACTGGGACAAGTGATTAAACTTATTCACATAGTGCATCACTATCATACTCCCCTATCACAGCTCCAGGAACTCAGTCAGCTTCCGGTTGATGACACCAGCAGAAATATAGAACTCTCTGAATAATGTGGTGAACTCCTACCAGGTTGTCGGATGATCTGGCTACTACATGGCATGGAAGGTATCCCACCATGCACTCATGGACCACAATAGTTGCTGCGCTGCAAAGCGCACCTTCTGCTCGTCGACCACGTTGAGCAACAGAAACTTCTGCTCCAGAATGCGAAGCCAGTGCTCTGCATCTTGGGACTCATCTATCGGAGTGAAAGTGGGTGGGTGGGTCTTGAGGAAATTCTAGTAAGAGGAGGGTCCCTCAGGACAGCGGGCACCACCCTCGTTCCCACCATTGCCTCCGTGGCCTCCACGGGCGAAGCCAGCAACAGCTTGTGCCATTAGTTCGATGGCACGAGCTGACTCTCGGCGAGCAGCCATCAGTTCCACCATCATCTTAGCATGAGTCATTTTCGGTGGCGGTGGCGGCGGCGGAAAAGGATGAGGGGCCAGAAGTGGAGCCTCCTGACTTCCCCCGCTACCATGCTCATTTGCCTGGCCACTCTCGCCTTGGCCCTCGCCAAGACCGTGAGCTTCTCCAGCACTGGTGCTCCCGCGTCCGGATCTTAGATTCATCTGTAAGAGATAGGAACCATCCATTTAGAACAACCTTCCGATCAGAAACACAAGATTAGAGAAATGACAGCATATTTATTAAAGCATTCCTTTAGTTAGTCCTATCAATTTACTAATTTAATTATACGTGTAGAGGGATTTCAGTTTAAGTAAGATGCTATTATCATGATGCATGCTTCGGCCTATACGTTCACTCAAGCCGGAATATAGCAACATCCGTAAATTTTTTGGCACATTACACACTCACTTTCCGTATACTAAGCGATTTCTTACGCAACGTAAGTCAGTGTACCTACAGAAAATCAATTAGATAAAACTAGTGTCGCTATCCTAGATAGACCATATTTCTAGAGCTTATACTTATTTACATAATGTAATTGCATCATACTTTTCGCAAAGCTTTTGTTGGTCAAATTTTTAGTTTTGAAAAAGAGTGATGAAACTCATAACCATTATTGGCTCTGGTACCAACTGGTGCAGAAACGCCCGAAATACCACACTTACGGAGGCGTTCGTCTTCCACCAGACACTAAGCACCCCGAAAGCAAGCTACAGCGACGGTATCCGTTGGGCACACCTCAAGGGAGAACCCAAAAGATCCACATTTTTCCTAATGATCCAATAATGAGAACGAGTTATAATACTTGTCCATTTCATACATTAGAAGAGCTTAAAAATTTCATTATTATATTACCAAATGTCAAAGTACGGAATACTAAACAACATAATTTAGAAATAAACATCTAGCGATAAGGACGAGGATCCGTCTGAGCCCACCAGAAGAATCCTCCACACAAGTGTACTTCACATGCATTACCTGCAACAGGGGTAAATAAACTCTGAATACACAATGTACTCGCAAGACTTATCCAACTAGTGGGAATAATTTTCTGACTCCAAGGAATATGATAAGCTTTATGGCTTGCTGGTTTTCTTTTGGCAGAAAGCAATACTAATAGTAAGTCCTTATTTATGTTATTATTATCATCCATATTAAGTTATTATCTATCCAATCTATAGAAGCACATGTTCTACTTTCAAGCAAGGGTTGAGCAACCAGTTCCATTTCCTCATCTTCCATATTTCAGTTCTTACTACGGTGCTAAACCGTAGACAAGCCGTACATGATTTCCCGACGATTCGTGAATCAATGCCCCTAGCTAGGTACCCCAAAAACACACACCCCGCTTGCACCCCAGGCACAAGCAGGACTAACTCATCACCCTCATGTCCTGGGTGTCCAAGTCCCCGTCCAAACTTGGACTCCAAGCCCCTACTCCTAAGTCCTAGGCTCAGTGCGGTGCAAGGACCTCCACCACCCCGCCTCCAATCAGTCGGTCCGGAAAGAGCCGGATCCACAACAAGAGAGCAACAAGACTTTCCTACGCACCCATACACAAGTATGTGCTCGAGATAATAAGTCTGTGGCTTGCCTAGAGCCATCTGCAACGATCGGTCCTTAATTGACACAGACAGAAAAAAGTGTAACCGAGCTATGCCCTATTGGCCATAGGACACAACCCCTTACACCCACCAGTACCCAAACCATATTCCTGCCCGGTCATCATTTTTCTTTCTTCCATTTTATCATGAGTGATCATATTTTATCACCTATTTACGAGTAACGACAGGTTACTCACGCTACCGATATCCTGAGCATAGCAACTACTCGAACTATACTAGTAGGACTCATAGGTAGATATATTTATGCATGTAGTTTCCATCAAATGCCTATAACTTAAATGCACATCATATATATATATATATTGGTCATAAAATAGGAGTCATGCACCGAGGGCTTGCCTTGGGAGGTGGAACATGTGCCATGCACGTTGTTTAAAGCTACTACAACAACCCATTCGATGATCCGAAAGTCAAACTAGTCATTCTATCCTCAAGCGGGTAGCGGGTACATAGGGCTATCGAACTAAGCCAAGACACCTCGTCATTTCTTAACCGGTCATTCTACAAAAATTATCGAACATGGCTTCGTCGACCCATTTTCAAACTTACGCGAAACGACTAAGCTTCAAACGGTTTCGCGTCGGATTCCTTTTCCAAGCTACTTGATACACTAGCTAGCGAACCCCATCCTCGATCGCACGTATTTTATCGTCACCTACAAAGTTCGTACTACGAACTTTATCAAAGTCTCGTATAAGCGTTTTATAGCATTTTTGTTCAATAAAAATTCACTTAAAATACTAAACAATATAAAGCGGTATGAAATATAACATTTGTTTCTGGTTTCAGATGAACGTTTCAAATGTCGTACATTGATTTATACTCTATATTACACACATTTACACATAAGTATGATGCTCATGCGGTGTTTTAGCAAAAATTGTACAATGTAATACCAAGGTGTTACACTTGGGGGTGGTTAAAAATTAGATCGGGATGATAGGAGGCGTTGCCCTCACTGTGATTTTTATCTGAATTTTTTGGTGCATTCAGATCTAAGTTTTGTTGAGTTTTGAATTTGAATTTAAATTTTAAATTTTGAATTTAAAATAATATTGAATCATGTATGTGGTTGAATTCTAAAGTTTAGATTTAGAATTTGTTGTGTGATATTAATGCAATATGTTTGATATTAATTTTATGTCATAATATGTGAAAACACAAATATTAAATTAAAATATAGGTAAAAACGCATGGACAAAGTTGTACTTTGGTCCAAAATTTAACATTGTTAGAGGGACTTCACAGAGAGCAGGGTAAAGTCTTCCTTCGTTTAGAAATCGTAAGGGTAAAATTATAAAGTTAAAAAAATAGGAGAAAAATCACCGTTTCGCTTTAAAACAGGAGTAGAAACGCTTAAGCCCATGTTAGAATTTTAGTACAACGAGCTTAGAGACAAATAGCTGGTACGACGAGTGAAATCCAGGAGACTGATGGAAGGATGAGATTTGTGTACCATACAAACACGGTTGGTATCCCCAATTGAGCTTATGTCAGCCATTCTATAGAATGCCGACCGAATTAACGTTCAGCTCTCGAACACACAGGCAGACTAAAAAAACTCACTCCGATGTTCCCCTCCATTTCAAGCAAACACGCAAAGACAAGTCGTATATTCTTTGTTCTGCACTTTTTTTTTGTTTAATTATTGGGACTATTCTGCTTATACGGAGTAGCACTGAACCTATGTTAATGTAAATAAAATGTTCCTAGAACAACCCAAACAAACATGTGTTTTACAGGGCTTCTGATAGAGTCAGTGGAGAACAGAAAAAAAAACACTGCCAAAGAGGCCCTAAATGAGAAGCTAGGAGGATGATTGAGCCAGTGGAGAAGCGAAAGAAAAAGCCCTGCCAAAGAGGGCCCAAATGAGAAGCAGGAGGAGGAGAGGACGTGGGGAGTGGGGCGAGCATGCGAGGCCGGCGACTGCTCCCCGCGCCACGGCCGCGGGGAGCCGGTGCTCCTGCTGCGGGCTGTTCTACTCTCCGTCCGCCTCCCCCTGCCCCGGTGAGTCTCCTGCTCGATTCTTTTCTTTGTTTTCAATTCAACGGAGAGTGGATCGTTTCAGACTTCGAGCTACGCGTGCAGCATGTGGCAGATTTTCCGGAGGTTGGAGCCGACCAGCCGGGCACTGCGGTTAATTTGTTGCCATGTGCCCTGATGGCTGATGCCATCCTGGCACTCTCATGGCCACAACACAATACGATTCCGTTGGCATTGGGATTTGGAAGGATCTTCTCAAGGACGCTGATGCGTCAACCAAATAAAACCATTTTATTTGCTCTGGCTGGGACTGGGACCTATGCAGTCTCTTTCACATTTCCCCTAAATACCTGGACTGCTGTAGCCGCCTTCTAAAGATGGGAACTGGGAAGACAAATGAGATCTCAATCATTGTCACATCAAAGCTATGCAGTACTTACCTAACTATCAAATCCAGCTGGCCCAAATGGTTGGTTCTTGGGTGTTCCACTTGTCGCTGTTTCGTAACGTGTTGAAAAAAATTTTAGAGCACATGGAAGATACCAATGAACGCTCAAAGAAATTTGAGGCTAACAGTATCGATATCCAAATCAGATTGGTTCTCCTTGTGGCTGGAACCCTTGACCTTCCAGAATACAGTTGTATAAAAAGGGCTCCTTTGTTATCTTCTCCATGTTAGATGATCAGAAACAAGGGTTCAGTTTCATTGAGTCGGCATGGGCAACTGCAGCAGCTTTACTCTTCCAAAAGGGTATCTCATCTCTGAACTTTGTAAGCGTTTCTTTTTAATTGGTATGATTCTTTTGCATTTCATCATTGATACATGCATAAACATCGCAGGGGAAGCAAGCTACTCAATAATGGCATGGTTTCGATCGATGAGGATGGAACTCATGAAGGAATAAAGACAATTCCAATTCAGAAAGCATGTGAATTCACCACTAACTCTGTGCTCTGCGTTTGCATCATCACATGGAACATGAATAGCAAGGTAGATATATTTGTGACTCCATCCATTTCCCCTCGATGATGATTAAGCAATTCACAATGAATTTTTTTAGTGCAGTTTACATTGACTTGATATGTGTTGTGTTGGTGAAGATGTCTGTGGAGGATGTAACGAAATTGGTGAGCTCCAACAGAAAGTTCGATTTGCTAGTTGTTGGACTGCAAGAAGCACCAAAATCAGATGTTTCGCAAGTTCTGCAAGAGGCTTTGGCAGAGACACACGTGTAAGGAACTAGTAGATCTCTACTCTCGTCTCTTCCATTCCATTGAACTTCTCACAGCTTTTCACAATATTCTCAAAAAGTTTGATGCCCATGAAATTTCAGGCTATTGGATCAGAAGAGCATGCAGTCTCTTCAGATGCTTCTTTTTGGATCGAGGAGTTCGGAGAAGTACATCAGAGGTGATTGTGAACCTTGTTTATCCTTTCTATATCTGTTTATTATCCCAAAAAAATTGATTGCTTATAGTGCCAACTACATCTTTCTTCGTCAGTCAAATTAATCTGTTTATTTCTTCATTTTGGATAGAGATGAAGGTGGACAAACATGCGGTTGGAGGTTGCGGGGGTATCATTGGGAGAAAGAAAGGAGCAGTGGCCATGTACATCAACTTCAGTGGGATCCGGATGGTTTTTGTGTCCTGCCATCTTGCAGGTTTGATCTTCAACTCTTGGTTTATGCTTTCATCAATGCAGCGGTGACATAGCTGTTAGCTTTAACCAAGTGCCGTTTCAAAGTAACAAGGTGTATGTAATTAAAGTGCAGCTCATGAACACAAGGTGGAGAAGAGGAACTCAGAATTCCAGCATATTTCACAATCACTCTTCTCCAAGTATGGCACACCATACGCCCAGTCTGCCGACATAACAGTGTGGTTCGGCGATCTCAACTATAGACTCGAAGGAATAAGCTCGATACCTGCAAGGAAGATGATTGAGGAGAACCGTCAGAGTGTAAGTGCTTGTTGACATCAGTCACTATTTTTGTACTGTAATCAGTGTCTCATGTTTTTTTAATTCTTTTGTTCTTTCATCAGAAGCTAAGAGGCAAAGACCAGCTTCTGCAAGAAGCTGAGAAGGGCGAAGTGTTCAACGGGTACTGCGAAGGGACCCTGTCGTTTAAGCCGACGTACAAATATGACGTCGGGAGCAGCATCTACGACACAAGCTCTAAGGTATCTTGATTAAACTAACATCACTTGCAGATCCCAGCTTGCAGATATAAATAAGAACCAATGGAGGCTTCTGAAACCTGACGTTTTGTGCTTGCGATCTTCACTTGTTCAGATACGAGTGCCTTCTTGGACAGACAGGATACTGTTCAAGGTTGGCCATTCTTCAGGCTTGGATGCAGTTTTGAGCTCATATGAATCCCTCGACTGTGTTCGGAGCTCCGACCACAAGCCTGTGAAAGCGCATCTTTGTCTCAGAGTACGCAGTGACGGTGATGCTGACTAATGTCAGCAGTTGACATGGCAGAGATACCATATTATAGGAGTACTACTGTAGAAGGGTAACTTTCTTTGAAGATATATGGAGACAAATTAAAATTGTAGGGGTGTGAAATATGGTGTAAACAGTATTCACCCAGGTCCCAGGCGCAGGAGGAGGGGTTTTAAGTGGCGGTTACTTCAGTATTCTGCAAATTAACATGGCTTGCTACGATGGAATGTTGTAGCAAGGAATGGTGATTACTGTAGTATTTCAGAACATATCGGCCCCTGTTCGCTTCACTGAAAAACAAGCCGAAACACTGTTCCAGCTGATTTGTTGTGAGAGAAAAGCACTGTTCCGGTTGAAAAAACAAGCTGAAAAGACGGATTATAAGAGAAACGAACAGCCATTCTTTCTGTTCCTTGTGGGCTAATTGTTCGAGAACATGCCATTCTTTCTTCTTTTTGTTCCTTTTATTTATTTTCCTAGTGCAACTACGCCTAACAAAAGAAGAAGAGGCAGTAAGCACTAAGCAACAGTGACTCACCTAATAATAATTAATTAAGTGCAACGCGTTTACTCGCTCCGAATTAAAAGTCGGTGCACCTCCAGGTCTCTTTTTGGCGTACCGGTGACTCAACCGTCAACCTTTTTCCTTTGGACGAAACACCTCGAGACCTATTGTATTGTTGCATTGTCACTATGACCAAATTGGGCTCAAAATTGGTTCTAGATTAACAATCTTTTCCTAGTACAAATAATATGAACTCAGATATGTACTTTTAAACATTCTATAATTACAATACTCATATACTCTCTCCCTCCCGCAAAGAGTGTCATTCTCACTTCGTAAAAACATTTTTAACTTTGAACAAATATATATAAATGATTATTAATATTTATAGTGCATAATAAGTATCATTAGATTAATCGCTGAGCATCTATATTTTTGTACGAGGGGAGAATACTCAATTATTTTGGGTGAGTGTCAATGCATGTTCAGATCCCATGAATGCGAGTTAGAAGAAAACAATTATTTATTTCCACTTTAAATGTCTTGCTTGCTCTATCTGCAATTTTGCACCAGCATATATTTTGCAAGCTTCGGTGAGTTGTTTAGGATCTATGATAGCTTGGGCGGTGACGGAGCGTAAAGCAAAACTGAGATGGGGCCAATCAAACTTGAGTTACTAATATAGAGGTCTAGATTGCAATTCATCAGCACTTAGGTGGTGGAATCAAGTGTTTTTAATAAACTTTCTTGGTTAGAGGGGCCATGCCCCACTTTAATCTACACTAACCTCAGCCCCTGAGCTTGGGTTTATCGAAGCACTGAGTATCACTAGAAGATGATAGTTTTTCGGAGAAGTGCAAGAAATGATCTCCTGGCAAACTCAAAGTACAAGCACATTAAACGGTTAGAGAAGGAAAATATTGGTTGTGCATTCTCATGTAAAGGAGACGTCGGCCTTGCATGTACTTAAAGAAAGAAAGTAGGATGGTAAGATGCGAGCAATGGAAAGTAAGAGTAGGTCTAATTTTACTTGAGCAATTTATAGGATGTGCATATCTAATTTTCCTTCGAAGACTTTGTATCAACTTAATATATATTCTTGAAAATTTTAATAAAATCTTCCATTACACAAAAAGTAAAAGACATGAATCTGCAAAAGGATAGAAATAACTAGTTGAGTTAGACAAAGTAGAACAACCATACAAACCGTCTGGTACAAAACCAAAACCATCTTTGTGGCAAAGTTATACAAACAAATGTATCTATTTATCGGTTATGTAGAAAAGTATGTTGATATTGTAGAAGAAATTGAGAGATTTCAAGTAAAATTTTTATGTAATGACTCCTAAGCAAATTTAGGTATAAAATGGGCAATAGGATTGTATCAAGTATGAACAACCAACCAATAAAACAAAACAATAGCTTAATAAACCGTGATGTGTTAGTGTTTGGTGTAAGCACCGTAACACCATAACAGAGGATGGGTGGTGGAGTTTGTAGTGAGATGTATTCTTTATGCTAATTTTTACTCTAAATTTCTAAAGACCCAAATTAAAAAAGACCGAAGAAAGCAACTCGAAATGTCAATTAAGACCAAATTTCGTTGGAACAAAATAGTCATAGCACCTTAGAATATATATACATTGTATTAATCGACTATATGACGTGAACTTAATGAATTTGTACATGTTTGAGAATCATATTCTCTAGAAGCATCTAGCGTCACCTCTAGGTCTTGATGTCCTTTGTGCTGCTTAGGCATGGAGTGTTCGGTGCATATTGTGTGCACACTGAATATCTACTGAGTGCAATCTTTAGAGACTTTGTGTAATTAAGTTTACTTCTCTCAAAGCATAGATGGATCAGTGCAAAACTACCAACAATTAAATTTATAAAGGGCTTTGGTGTGAAAACAGCCTGGCCAGCACTGCCATTGACTCTGGTAGCGACCTCGCACCTCACTCCCCCGTCTTCGCTCCTCTCTCCAGCTCCCGTCACCCCTCACCCGCCCGCTCCAAGGTCCGAGCCAACTGCCCAGGGAATTTCCTGCGCGCGCACGCAGGGCGCTCGAGACGGAATGCGTGCGCGAGACGTCGCCGCGCCTCCTCGCCAGCCTCAGCCCCACGTGGGCCTCGTCCTCCCCCCTCCCCCTCCCACCGGCCCCGCGCGTTGGGTGTCGACGTCGCCGCGACAGCGACGCGGGCGGGCGGTGGGCGAGTGACGGTGGGATTGAACAGAGAGATGTCAACCTCAACTCGTTTTTTTTTCTTCTCCCTCTTGGACTCACCCTCTACCTGCACCTCCGCTTCCCGTCCATGTCACGCTTTCGTCGCTTCTTTTCTTCATCATTTCTCCCCGTTTCGTCGAGCTTCTTTTCTGTCGCCTCCCCGTTTCGTCTATCTGCGGCCGGCCGGCCGGCCGGCCTTTCTGCTGCAAGAAAACCAAGATTATCTATTGGATCTTTCAAAAGGGAAAACCAAGATTCCGAGAGCAAGAAGCAGCCAAGCAGGGCGATCTTTGCTGAATTCGCAGGCTCTGAATTGGTCAGTCTTCTGCTCTTCTTCTTTTACTTGAATTACAGTGGTCTTCTTGGTTTGTTCCTGTATTACTTTACTAGCTTCACCGGTACTCAAGTTAGTTTGGTAGCTGATGTCTTTTTGTGGTTGCTGAACCGTGGGCTCTGTACTTTGATGCTTTGTGGGGTCTGGGTCTGCCATAATGGCTTCTTTCTGTTCTGGTGCAGGAGCTGGAAGTGTGGTGATTTCCTGATTGGGGACATAAGGTGGGGTTTGTCCCTACTCCCCAGTGAGCTCCACGCGGTCCCTGCTGTTCTTCCAGTCAAAATTCTGTACCCTTCGGTGCTGGGATCAAGGAACTAGGCGTCAGAGTTGGGTTCTCTTGAACTCTTGATTCCTGCTTCATGGAAATTTTATCTGCTTTTCTCTGAATTCAAGATCCTCCCTATCGTTTCCAGGCTTCCCGAGGTAAGGATAAGATAATGGGAAAATAAGCCGAAATATTGACGTGATCCGTATTCCGGCTGAAAATTTATTCTGAAAAGTCGCAATTTAAGAGAAGATCCGTTTTAATTTATTCTGTAGTCTCTTTCTCCTTTGAAGGTGCACTTGCATTCTCTCTTACTGGTTCTTTTAGTACTGGCTACCGAACTTTGGATTCATCATACCGTGACAGCTTGCCCTGATTCTCTCTACTGTTTGGTAGCCAGTGATTTCCACAGAGCTTGAAAAAATATTTGTATATGCAGGGCTGCATATATAGTTTTGGTTTGTGAGGTTCTCAAAGGACAATTTCATGTCTAGTAATCTAAGAGACATGTTAATAAACGGTCTAGTAATCTAAGAGACATGTTAATAAACGGCCTAGTAATCCAATGGACATTTTGTTGAATTTGGATACTTTTGGTTTGAGGATCCAGACCATTAATAACTTGTATGAGCTCATGGGAAAATAAACGGCATACATATCCGTGTTGGTGATCAATTGCTGGTCTCTTTTATTGTAGCTTACATAACAAGCCACTTGCCTATCTTACTCTTGTTCAAATGCAACTACGAGTCTTTCTGATAATTTGTCGAAATCTTCAGTTGTCTTTCCATTGGTGTATAGAGGTTGTTCTTTGGGGTTACTTGTGTGCATTTTGCATTCTGAGTGGCATGCATACAGAATCATCAATATTTCATCATTGTGGTGGCACACAAACATATTTGCTTTTTTATCCCACCATTTAAAGTATTGTAGAGTGCACTACTGAGAGTGGCCCATTTCTACATAGTTGATAATATTCACTTTCAAAGCAAAGAGCACTCTGTAAATTGTTTAAGTACTGACAAAATTTTAGGAGTGATTAATGCTAGAAACATTGTGGTATTTCCAGCAGTCTGCATCAATGCTTACCGTGGGAATCCACATTACATGACTAATATGGAGATATAATTGCTATACATTTGCGGAATCATAATTTTTAAGGTGTATGCCTTAATTTATAACCTATGAATGTGCTTGACCATTGAAAATTCATGAGCCTTCACCTTCACCTCTGAGGTCTGTGCTTGCTATTGGAATACAGCAACATGCATTGCAAAAGTAGTAAGGAAGACATAACTGCTATACATCAGTTGATGAAATTTTTGGGGACCACATGGAATTTCTAGCTTGTGAATGTGCTTGAAGATTCTTCTACCTTCATCTTTTGCTTAGCATGTGTCACTGGTGCCTCGCATCATACCTTCAGCAAAGCTCAATGCCTGTTTTGCTGGATGTGCTTATATTTCCAAGCAGTGAATCTTTTTAGATTTCTTTCGCATTGATTCCAGTTTCAAGGCCACACAGGATCTAGGGGAGAGGCAAGCAAAGAGCTGGTAGTGAAGGTGTGTCATGTGTGTTTGTAACAGGGTAGGCACCAATAGTGGAGAGGGATTTCTATTGGATCACTAACATTTAAGGGTCAACTGCTGCATAAGAAATACTAGAGTGTGATATAGACAGACCCTCAATTGCCTTCTTTAAATGTGAAGAGCTCATATGCACACATTTTCTCCAAATATGATTCTCAATGCATCTTGTTTTGCAGTGCAGGAAGAAGGATATTGTCCCTCTCCAAACTATAAACATGGGTTGGTTGAGTAAAATATTTAAAGGTTCAGTAAATAGAGTTTCAAGAGGACACTACAACGGGAACTCCCATGAAGACTATTCAACTCAGCACACTAAATCATATGTACTGCTCAGTTGCAACTTATCCTCTTAATCTTTATCTTTAATGATGCAAATTAGTGAGTTTAAGTAATACCTACGATAAAACATGAAGAAGAGAATCATAGTGCACTGAAATGTGTCCCCCAATATTATATACTATCAGTTGCTCAGTGCACTTGCCGTATTTGTTTACTCTTTCAATTTGAAATGGGTCCTTCCCTATTTCTAATAAATAATGTTGATTAAAGTACATTGTTGGTATTCCTGCCTGGAAAAATATAAGTAGTGAACAACTTACCGATCTGTGCTTGACTAATGAGGACCCACAGTATTTTTTAATATATATATCAGGACTCACAACATGTTGCATACATAATTATTCCCTGCTTTTTTTACTATATAATTAAAATTTACTGTAGGGTGCGCATGGCAATGAGGATGAAGACATGGATCATGCTATTGCATTATCCTTATCAGAGGAAGATCAAAGGAAGGGAAAGGCCATTGGTTTGTAGTGCTCTGCCCCATCTTTGCATGTTTTGGCTATTTATTTAGGGACAAATAGATTGCATCTCTAATTCCTAAACTTGTGTGGTTTAGTTGTGTCTTTTAACTCGAGACAGATTTGCTAAACTGTTATAAGTTAGAGGGAACAGTTCTGAAACCTGTCGTAACTTAGCAACCAGTGATGCCGAAGCACTTTGCTCTAATAATGGTAATGTTTGATGGTATCCTCTGTGAAACAATACTAATTCAAAACTAGTAAAACACTTTAAAAGACATCATAGTTCCATTTAAATTCAAAAGGCTAGCTCTTCATTAATTTCACATGCTGGCTGCAAAGTCAAATTATCAACCTGAACATTTGAGAAAAAAATTAGCAACCTGAAATAGCATGTCATCTCTAATTACCAATTAAATAGGGCATGCATGCCTTGGCTACATATACAAGCTCAGGTACTACATATGGAATCCTCGTGTTCAGGACTGAAAACAACACAGCTCATTTTTGGACAGTTTCTTCTCTAGTAATTACCAGAAATACCAGACACCTGGTTTTTTATTGAAATATTAGCTTATGCATATAAAGTGTTTGAGGAAAAGCATATTCATATAAGCACGGTTAGTCAGAACTATGAACTCTAATGCTTTGTCATTTTTATTTTAATTATGAACCAGGTACCGGGCATCATTTAGATGAAGATGAACAGCTTGCACGGGCTCTGCAAGAAAGTATGAATGATGGACCTCCTCTTTGAATATTCATTCAGATAATTGTTCGTTAATTTCACATTATGACTGCAAAGTCAAATAAGCAACCCAAAATTCCATTTCATCTCTTATTGCCGGCTAAATAATGCTTCTGCATGCCTTGACCACATATGCAAGTTCAGGGACTAAATATGGAGTTCTCAAATTCAGGGCCAAAAATAACACAGCTTTATTAGACAGGGTGTTCCTGTAATATTAAATTTGATTCTTTTGTACTTACCAAAGAATTGCAAATAGCAGTTCTTGTTTAACAAATGAGTACTGTTGGTCAGAACCATGAATTTTAATGCTTTGTCTTATAATAATGAACCAGATACTGGTCATAACCTAGATGAAGATGAACAGCTTGCACGGGCTCTGCAAGAAAGTATGAATGATGGACCTCCTCGTCGGAACATTCCAATTGAAGATGTTCACCCAGAAAGTACTCCAGCAAGTAGCTTGCCCTCAAATATTTTCCCCACAAGTGGCTTGAGGTATTTCTCGTAATGGTACATTATGATGCTTCGCTAGTTGCTTCTGCCACCTTGCATATCCTACAATCTAATTAGCACAAATTTCTTTGTTATTTACCTTTTAAAAATACTAATACGCATAAACACACTCTGCTTGGGGGTGAATGGCATTTTAGAAGATACTTCTGATAATCAGGAGAAAATCTACCCTGAAACATTAGGCATTAGATGTGTTGACTTGGATCCCTCACATTAGCTTGTTGGTTTCTCACATACGACGAGAAAAAAACAACAACTCTGAGTTTGGATTCTAGGGTAGGGCTACGGTTTGAGTTTGTAGAAGCACCATTTGTTCTGGAAACATGATACGACTGCAAACTCATATTCCAAATGCTACCTGAGTGAGATATATATTATATAACGAGCCAGCATTCAAAGAAGGCTAGATACAGAAGGATAATATGGCTCAGAATTGTCTACATCTAATACTATAGGATTTTCTTGACTGGATATGCAACATGGATCAATTTGTCTGGTTATCTGAGCCTTGTTCTAGTGTGATGGAGAATCTTATTATCTGATTTTCTCTTATTTTCTCTGATTAAGCTTTTTCTGGTCTGTAATTTTTGTGTATCTGGTTGCACCACGGCCTTCTGTAGGGTTTGTGCTGGATGCAAAAGTCCAATTGGTCGTGGTCGGTTTCTCAGTTGTATGGACTCTGTTTGGCACCCTGAGTGCTTCAGGTGTTATGCTTGCGATAGACCAATATCAGAGTATGAGGTATACAATACAACATTCCTGACCTAACATTCTTCAACTTCACAAGATAATTAACATCGGCCTTTCTTTTTGTAAGTTTGCTGTTCATGAAAACCATGCGTACCACAGGCCCTGCTACAAGGAGTGTTTCCATCCTAAATGTGATGTTTGCAGTAGCTTTGTAAGCACACTTCACTTTGATTTGATAAATGAGCTTGAAAATTTAGTAGTAAATAATCCTGATTATCCATTGGGTTATTCTTATTGCTGATGGAATTTTGTAGTAACAGATTCCCACAAATAAAAATGGCCTCATTGAATACCGGGCCCATCCTTTCTGGATGCAGAAGTATTGCCCTTCCCATGAAAACGATGGTACACCTAGGTGCTGCAGTTGTGAACGAATGGAGGTTAGTGTTATGTTTATGTACAATTATATATATATTGATGGATTTATAAAAAAGAAAATGCTGATTCCAAATGCTATTTCAAATACTCCAACAGCTGCATTTGCCTCTTTTCAGAAATTTACCTGTGAATTTGATGAATTGTATTATCTTTTTTTTTTGTGTGACTTATGAATTGTATTATCTTGTGCCACCTATGTGCACATCTTCCTGACTTGCTACTCCAATGACATTTCCTCTTTTATTGTTTTGTTGTCAACCCTAGCCAAAGGACAGTCAATACATAACATTAGATGATGGCCGGAGACTCTGCTTGGAGTGTCTGCATACTGCTATTATGGAGACCAATGAATGCCAGCCTCTATACATTGATATTCAAGAATTTTATGAGGGTATGAACATGAAAGTAGAACAACAAGTTCCCTTGCTTTTGGTTGAGCGACAAGCTTTAAATGAAGCCATGGAAGCAGAGAAATCTGTAAGTGACATTTTATCCTTTATTGTGCGGTATATATATAACATATATCTAATGTACTCTCGTCGATTAGGTGCATCACCTTCCTGAAACGAGAGGCCTCTGCCTATCTGAGGAGCAGATTGTCAGAACTGTATGTGATCTTAAAACATTTCCTTGTTTTGCTTAATTGGTCTACTGAATTTGTGAACTTTGAGGCCACTTATGATTAAACATAAGTAACATAATAATACTGTCCAGATATTAAAAAGACCAATAATTGGACCAGGCAACAGAATCATAGATATGATCACAGGACCATACAAACTCATTCGACGGTGTGAAGTGACTGCAATTCTTATACTGTACGGGCTGCCAAGGTGATTTTTTCTCATTATTTAACAAACTAATTACAATTGATGTAGTTTCCCTTTGATGGAAGTTGATTCTACTACCAATCCATCAGAATGCATGCACGTTTTAATTTTCATTTATTTACTTGCATGCAGGCTTCTAACTGGCTCGATTCTGGCTCATGAGATGATGCATGCTTACCTCCGACTTAAAGGTATTCTGGTTGTGCTTGTTTATCTACGTTTGCAGCATCCTCTTCATTCTTCAATATCATTCTATGTTTGCAGAACAGCAGTATTTAATCTTAACACCTTTTTTTGGGTAGGATACCGAACCCTGAGTCCAGAGGTTGAAGAAGGCATCTGTCAGGTTCTAGCTCATCTTTGGCTTGAGTCAGAAATCACATCAGGTTCTGGTACCATGGCAACCACCTCAGATGCGTCGTCATCATCATCTTCAACATCTTCCTCATCGAAAAAGGGTGCAAAGACGGAATTCGAAAAAAGACTTGGCGAGTTCTTCAAGTACCAAATTGAAACAGATTCTTCTGTGGCTTATGGAGATGGGTTTCGAGCAGGCATGCGAGCCGTTGAGCGGTACGGCTTGAGAAGCACCCTTGATCATATCAAGATGACGGGGTCTTTTCCATACTGAAGCTGGGGTTTTCCCTCACTTTGAATATGGGTATAGATTTTTTGAGAACTTTTGGTTCAGGTTATACATACGAAAAGCCGAAAAGGGTTTATATTGTCTATAGTAAAAGTGTTAGGAATAATCATGACTTGGTTATTTGAGTATTGCAAAGAATGTGTGAAGAGGAATCATCCAAAACGAGATGCGTTTTAGCTATACATTTGTCCATTGCAGGATAAGCTGTTTTTCAGGTTGTTTAGTCTCTAATTATATAAGTATATTTACAGTAGCCAGGCACACATGAAGGTAAGTGGTCTTTAGCTTGACCAACCTTGTAGAATGTTGTCACTTAATGCAAAAGAAATTTGAATATATATGCTTTGCTGTGTTTGAAATGCAATTGTTTTGATGCTATGCTCTTTTGTATTTCCTGCCTGCCTTTGTATCGTAGTAGATTCCAAGCCAATTCTCGAATACCCTGTTCGTTTACTACTTTTATAAAAAGGACCGTTCAGCTTAGGATTTGTTTTTGTAGGGGGAGGTGCACCATTATATTATATTCATTCATGTTTTTGAAACAGGTGCGTCATTAAAGTCAGGACTCAGGAGGCTTAGGGCTCCTTTTAGAATGCAAGAATTTTATAGGAATCAGTTTATCTTTCGTAGGAAAAACTCAGGAATGAAAAAAAAAAATCCGTGTTCCAATGGGGCCTTAGTCTTATATAACAGGCCAAGGGATTAAGAAGGCCGTTAGGCCTTGTTTGGAAGGAAGGCCCAGTAACGGCCGAAAATCTTGGGTCATTGACACGGGTGTTTCCTCCACCGGTGAAAAACCCATGTCTATGCAATCTTTCCTGCTGCCGGTTGGGCTAACATTTTATGTTACTTGGCATCTGTCGCTGCAATCCGGAAAAGGCCCACGACGTGGCCCACTGTAGCCCAGCATCTACCAAAATTAGCAGGAAAGCATGCCTTCTGGTAGGGATGGCAATGAGAGACATAAATCTGCTAAAAAAACAGCAGAACACATTAAGCATGTTACAATTCCTAAATATCAGAAACTACGGTTTCTGAGTATATTGTTCTCATATATTTGTACTGTACAATGATTTTGTCGTCAAATATATCATTGGTCGAAACAGAAATCACTTCTTTGATTCCTCTTAGTGACCAAGCCAATCTGGCAAAAGAAATTTGAATATATTTTTTAATTTAATAATGTTTTGATGAAGAAACATCCGGCTTCATCCCCCTGTTCAAATAAAAAGGAATCAGATCAAAATTTTTTAGGGGAAGGGCACCATTAAAATATTTTCATGTTTTTGAAACAGGTCTCATACACCAAAACTTAGTTGCTTTATGTTTGAACTTACAACCATTTCAAAAAAAAAAGGAGGTCTGAATTGCCATGGCTATTAATGCTGGCAGCTTGGATAGATGCACCGAGTGACCGTCGCATTTGATGACTTAATTTTTTTTGTTACGAACATAATGTGAGATGATAATGCATCGCGTATAGATAATCGTGAGTTATGAGAAAATAAGGAAATGCCAGCAGAACAAAATTAACAATTAAATATCAAAATACCATTAGTATAGTTGCCTATATGTAGGTACAAAGAAGACAGAAATCACTTCTTTGATTCCTCTTAGTGCATAGCCAATCTGGAAGTTTTTTTTTTAATTTAATAATGGAAGAAACGTCCGGCTTCATCCCCATAAGGAATCAGATCAAAATTATTACAGGACACAAATATTTAAAACGAAACAGTCTCATACACCAAAACTTAGTTGCTTTATGTTTGAACTTACAACCATTTCAAAAAAAAAGGAGGTCTGAATTGCCATGGCCATTAACTAATTTGTTGATAGATGAGAGTGAAAACATTGTTACGAACATAAAAAAATGCAATGTATAGATAAAAGTTATGAGAATTATAAGAGAAAAGTGTTAACAGGGTCATTGTGCATTACTTTTTTCTTATGCATAACATGATCCATTTCAGCCAGCTCCATGTGTTCAGAGATTAACTGGGACAACTACCCTATTTTGCAACATAGAAGGGACATGGTAAAAGTTACACATCAACGACAACTCAAATTATACTGTTAATAATAGAAATTTAAGTGTTTGAAAGCAGAAGGAATCTAGAACGATGTTTCACTTAAAACGTAGCTAAGTAATTAAGGGCCTCTATGTTTGAGCTCTCTTGAGAGCTTTTGAACCTTTCAAAAGCCAAAAAGCTCCAGGAAGAGCTTTTAGGCTTTTGGCTTATGAGAGCTTTTGATTTTTGCAAAGTCCAAAAACTAGTAGTCTAAAGTGGCCAAAAGCTCAAACAAACATGACATAAGCTGTCTCCTACCTGTCTAGCATCATGTCTACATTCTTCCCAAAAAAAACATTGTTGCTATACTTGCAATATGATTCTATCTTGGTCGTAAGATAGAATAATAATGCAGATATGACAAACAATGTACAAAGTGATTCCTAGGAGTAAATTGGCAAAAAAAGAAGAGTTAATACTCTATTCGTTTTAAATTGTAAATCATTTTGGTTTTTTGGGTACATATTTCTTACTATACATCTAGATATATGCTATGTTTGCATACATAATAAAAATTATGTATCTGAACATTCGAAACAACTTACAATTTGGAATGGATGGATTACCTTACTCCCTCTATCCCTGAATAAATAGATTTTTAGAGTTGTCTTAAGTCAAAATTTTTGAACTTTGACTAAATTTTAAGAAAAAGGTCAAAATTTATGATATCAAATTAGTATCATTAGATATACATATAATATATTTTTATAATATGATCATTTTATGTTATAGATGTTGTTATTCTTTCCTATAAAGTTAATAAAACTTAAGATAGTTTGATTTGTACGGATTCTAGAAATTAATTTATTTGGGAACGGAGGGAGTATATTTATAATCGTCAATAGAAAAACCATATGGCACATAGCCTTCTAGTTATCCTAGAGGTTCCCCCGCGTACCTTCATTTGTTCTTTGTGCTCATGGAGCAATTACATGTTTTGTAGAGCTGCCCACATGCCAAGAAGGGCTATCATGGGAATGTTGTCAACCACAAAATCAACATGTCAAAAAAGGTCATGAAATTGCCAGTACTTTGGTGTTCACGAAATTCAACAATAGGCGGAAGCTGTGCAGTTGTTGACATAGTTGAACTTCTTGCCAACCTATGGAGATTAGCACAAAAGAGGATACTTTAATTTAGACTCTTAATATAATACAACATAGAGAAAAATATAAAAGATTCCAAAAAGCGAAGAGGCACCACATGAGATTTTGTTAACCTGTTTATTTTCTGTTTCTTTATTTCATTATTTGGACAAACTTAGACATTCACATAAAAAAATTGTTCCAAGTAGTTCTAGAGTTCAAATAATTGTTTGAAAACCGTGTGAGGCAAAGGTAAACTTTCTCTACTGGGACATAAATGTAAAAGGTTTAATTTTCTACTAAGCTAAACTTCTCTACTAACTTTGGTCAAGATTTAAATTTTAAAAAATACATATGAAGATTTATAATACCAGATAAATGAACTATCAACTATCAAGATATTTCATTGTGAATTTAATAAACCAATTTGATGTTTGATGGTGTATTTTTCTGTAAATTAATCTAATTAGAGAAGTTTATTTTATCTTAAAATAAAACCAAACCTCTATCTCTTTTGATTGAAACCTATAGAGTTATATATAAAGCAGGTTGCCGCATCACGCCTAAACCGCCTTGCATGTGGTGGTCCGCGGACGTTTCCCAAATCCCAATCACGCTGGTTGCTTTCAGGCTAACACGAAAATCGGTGCCTCAATGTTAGGATTGGGTCTCAGTCGATGGGTATAGGTAACAACTCAAAGACTCACAACAAGCTAGTGTCATGAACTAGACCACAATTGAGCTGGTAGCATGCCAACTACACGAGACAATGTTGTGTTGACTATACTACTCTTTTAGATTAGCAATCAATATCTACCAAATGCAACTAGTAGTAGTTCTAGCTAGTGTGGTATTTATTAGTCTTTTTTGTGAGGTTCATTGTGGTTTTGTTTGGTTTAGATTTAACGATGTTAACTCTTGTTTTTTTTTATTTTCTATTGAATTCTTTTCCCGGCAGGAATACCACCGGCTACATCTTATGTGTTCATACCAACTATAGGCCCCGTTCGCTTCGCTGAAAAAACAGGCCGAAATACTGTTCCAACTGATTTGTTGTGAGAGAAAAACATTATTCCAATTAAAAAAACAAGTTAAAAAGTACGGATTATAAGAGAAGCGAACATGGCCTATATCCTGATGAGATGATCTTTGGCTTATCATCAACGAAAAAGAAAGATTCTATGAAACATACATTCCATTCTATTGTTTTTTTTTTCTTCTTTAAAAATGTGAGCAGGTTTATTAATTTGTTGAATTATATAACTCCTCCAAAGTGTTCTAACAATAAAGAAATAGCATTTTTTTATAGACATATAAAGTCTAAACCTATGTCGTTGTAAAGAAACAAAGTCTAAACCTATGAAACACTTAGCTCATGCATTTTCGAGGAATAAGAATCAGCTACCTACTCACTTGATAACTTGGTCGCCGTAACATAGAATAGAAGGGGGAAAACCCACCAAATAATAATAATTCAAGCCAAATCCAAAGTCAATAATAGCTGGACCACCCAGTGGATGTGACCGTGTGGGAAATTAGAGGACCGGATCGGATGAACATAACCGGAAACTAAGGTAGGGTACACATCAAGTTGTTTCCATGCATTGCTATCATTTAGGTGTGGATACAATAATGGTTTATGGGAATAGCAAAAATCCATGTAGTTTAGATTTCTTCCGGTGGAACCCATCCATCTAGGTTGGAGTGCTTGCCGCTGGCTGGAGTTTACGGTAATGGCGTAATGCTGATTTTTGCTTTGCATAGATGGAGGGTTCCTTTCGTCATCTCAACATTTTAAAGTTTGAATTGTTTTTTTGGTGGTTCTAGAGCT